TAAGAAAATTGCTTGGATTAGGCCTGTTCTCATTTCCAATATTCATCACAGATCATTACAGTATATACTGTACTGTACTGCTCTTCCCTTAATTTCTTACTGTATTTCTTGGAAGCATTCAGGACATTTTTATTCGTTGATTTGTGTTTACATTATTTACCATTTACCATGAAAAGATATTTTGCAATGGTAAGAAATGAACACAGGGAAGTAAGGAACCCCATGGTACACGTAAGTGGTGTCTATTACTTGCTGGTGTCTACACGGAAAAAGTCCAACTCCGCCCCCCTTGCCTGCATGTTGATTTTAATAGTGTTCTGATAAAATACTGTTCAATGAAATGGCGACCATACATAGTAGGTATTTTAAGCCAAGTATGAATGGAGATGAATGTAGGATGAGTGGCGCGATCTTGTAGTCTTGTTAGTGACTAAGGCCGACATTCCTTAGACACAGCTGTTAATTAATAGCCCATACAGCTAATGGTAATTAAGGGACCTACATTTTATAGTGGAATCCGAACCACATTTTTCCTTGGTACATACGAATTAGTCTAATTATCAGGATACCCCCGCCGCAGCAAACCTGCAGACTTAGCGAATTTCCATTTGCCTGATTGGATTTAAACTAAAATGCCTCCTTACAAATATCACATTTATTCCCTATTTAAACATAATTAGTTTAATGAGTACTTAGGTTTGCTGCAACAGGGAGGGTAAAAAAGTTTTTTTAATGTTAAATGTTAAAAGTTACTGTGGTTTAGTAAGAAATCAATGTATTTTCCAAATTTGATCAAAATATGTTCATCAACTAGCAAACTAAAACAGTTGACTTATTCTCCATAAGAATAACATGGGAATTTTAAAATTACAATTTTTTTTTGAATTTTCTCCGTAACAATTAGGCGCATAATAACGCTTCAATATACTAAATTATTTGTTTTTTTAAGCTCTACAAAATGGTTAAAAAGAATTTGTGAAATTTTGTGTTTTTAGGGTCAAAAATGGGAAAAACCTATTTTTACCCCATAAGCCCCCGTTCCCATAGTCCGATCATGCTGGTTCGCGAACTCATTCAAGTTTATCCCGCCTTACACCTTCAAACCAAATTTCATCAAAACCGGACAAAAATTACTCAAGTTATCGTGCGGATGGACACATATGTATAATGACACACATATATATATATATATATATATATAGATATATAACAATTTGAACGAATGGTGTTTTTGGCCTCTGGGGACATCAAAATGAAAAAGGAAATCGGTCCCGGGCCTAGGTCTTACCATGAGACCTACGGTAATAGCTACTTCCCTATAGGGAAATTCGCTAATAGTACTGCGGATAGTCATAGTACTCACTCGTGCGGACGTTAATCCATACCAGGGAGTATCGCATCCACAGTGCATGCCTATAAATATCCACAATTCTACAATGCTCGTGGTGGATGAAGACCCTGTGGCCTAGGTGATAGGAATTTCCGCACAGTGCTCGCTGTTTGGGTTTGGTGATGACATTCCACCATATAATATCAATATTAATATCAATTACACTTGAGGTGATAAATTTTATTCTTTGAAAATTAATTCATCCCTCTGGAGGTATCATGAATAAAATTGATAACTACCAAAGATTTTTGGACACTTAACTAGGCCCCCTTCAGTCAGGAGAAGAGTAAATAGTTCCAGTAAATAGTGAGAGACTGTTCTTTTAGCGACAGTATTGTTAATATAAGTAAGGGTATAAGGAAAATTCTAGAAGAGAATACAACTGGCAGTTCAAAGGCTAGGGTTAAAATGGTTGTTGGCCGTTGTAGTACCATTGACTATTAAAATTCTAAGGTAGTACATTAAAACTCCTTTACAAGAAAATCGTCGAAACACATGTATATAATGGCACTTCCTCAAAAATAAAGCACATAAGTCTTAGTCACAAAAAGTTTGCAGCAATTAGTCCCAAACACCAGAGATGGTAAAAGAAAACACATTAGTTAGTAACCAGCTAATAACTTTACTTCTTCAAAAGCAACACATATACATAAAAACAGATCAACAAATATGAATGAGTAAAATGGTCCTAGGTTTACTATTAAAAGACTCAAAACACAGTAGATGAATGACAGAAGTTTGAATGAATGATAAACAAATTAATTATGAATGAAGCGATAGAATAAATCAAGTGTAGATGTGGTAACATACATACGGTCTCTTTTGTTTTAATCAAAAGTAAATAATGATACACAATGCATTAAAATGTGGAGGCTAATCTGATTTTTTTAAATAATTCAATACAGAGTTGTTAAGTATCAGAATGTACTTAATCTTATACTCATATCTTCAATACGTGTCCATTCATGTCTGTACAACTTCCAATAGTTCAAATATTTTTTTAGATGGGACAAGGATCGTGTTCCAAGAAGTTTGATCAAAAAGGAGTCCACAGTCATAACAATGTAAAGATTGAAACTACGGCATTTGAATATTATTAATTGTAGTAATCAATAACTTCAACATAAACCACCATCTATATTTGTTTTATTCTATTGCCAAATTTATTTTACATTGCAATATTATACTATTTACAGTAATTGTACAAAAACTATTTATTTATAGATGTTGAGATGTTCTTTATTAGAATATATTTCCATAAACAATATTAAATCTGTAACAATTCAGTTCTGTAACTTTGTCTTAATCTTACTGTTCTATAGCTCATTTGTTCAACACCGACAAGATTGTAATTCAAGATTCAAGATTGTAGCGGAACAAATTAAATGTTTCATTGATTATCAAAGCAAATTTTTAAGAAACATGAATGAAAATTGAATCTGTCAACAGGCCTATTCTATAAATTTCTAACAATTCTCTAAATCAAAAGTATCTTGAAATAGTTTCTAAATGCTCTACAAATCCAGATAATTTAAACTACATACATATTCTTAACACATTTCCAAAAAACAGCCACTCGTACATTCAGACTTAATGGAACCTACATTAATATTAATTACAATTAGAAGGACAAGGGATAATTTACTAAGGTTCTAAATGTAACTAGAGCAAAAATCACTTATCCTATCGTTAACACTTAGTATCACAAATTCTAAGCTACTACTGTATTGCTCTTCTCTAGTTTAGCAAGGTCGGTTGTCTGATTCCTGGGCGTTAGGCCTATTGCTACTTATTTCATATTAAAAAAGTTATTTTTTGTGGAATACAGGGTTTTATATTTTTTTCTATTTCTGGCATTTGCAGCAAAATTCTCATTTCTAACAGTACAATAAGCAGTGAGAACTACACTTGTTTAAATGGGAATAGATTGTTATTACGTGTATACAAAAACACACTACATTTACTGTTAAAATAGTGTCTATAGTTTTTTTATTGCTCAGTATATTTTAGGGGGAATTTTTTGAATATGAAAATGTGGGTATCCCATCCAAAAATTTATTTTGTTTTGTGTTATTCCAGTTTTAAGAACTTGTTTTATAATAATAACCTTATTTTGTTGCCTTATTAAAAGAAACCAAACAAGCTGGTGAAATTTACATAGGGTAAATATAAGCCTTAACCTCAAGAACAAAGTAAAAAAATAAGGTAGCCTAATTAATAAAATTTAATTATTTTGTTCTAGCTCCATGTTAAAAGTCCATTTTATGGCATATTATAACAAAAGTTTTTAGCAGAAAACCAGGCATGTCAATCTTATGACAAATTTATTTAAGAAAAAGCAGGTTTTTGGCATTAAGGCTGTATTGAAGACATAAAAATTAAGCCAAAATCAACTAACATGATTAACATTTTTAATAGTGTAAGTAGACATTTAATTTGGTTTGTGAATAGAATAATGAGTCAATATATTTCTTATAAGTCAATAAATAGATTACTGGAAGATGCCTTAGGTGGTTTCTGCAAACCCTTTTTTAAACTTGCTTTCCAAGATCTAGAAGGAACATCCATAATAGTTGTTTTAAATGTACCCAAATACATCAAACTTCTGACTAAATTAAAACATACATACTTAAATACTTTAAGGAATACAACTTTTGTGAAATCGATGTAATTGAACTAACAATAAATTAAAGTCTAAGAGTGTAACAAATTAGAAGAAAAAATACTTTTGATAGATTTCTATCCTAAGTGGTATTTTAAGTAGAGCCAATTTTACTGCCAAGGTAAGGAAAATATTAACAGTCTTGTTCCATCTGCCATGATACAAAATTCATCACAGCAAAAATCAACAGGAATTCAGGATGCTACGGAACAATTTAACGGCAGGATGAAAACAACAAAAACTCAAGAAATCATGATAACATTAATACAGATAGCTTATGGCTAGATGTAAATTAAAATAAAAACATTTTTTACTTTGGGCAATTGAGAATTGGAATGTAATGCAATTTTCAATGTAATGGGAAATAAGCTCAAGTCACATAAATTGTATACAGGAAAAACTAAAAAAAATTAACTCAAATTGAACAAAAAAATTACTGTAATTTAAGTGTTTAAACCCTTGAAGTGAAAACTTACACCCTAATGTAACTGACACAGAGTAACATAAAACACAACAAACTAAAGAAATACATAACATTATCTTACAAAAGCACCAGTGAGCAATAACTTTTTACACTCAAGGGTATATACATAGGACATAGATTATATTCTATTTTTAATGGAAGAAAGTAAATCTTTAAAAAACTTAAGTTAGGTAAGGTTTAGGTTAGTGTAATTTAGTCAGATGTTACAAAAAAGTTTGATTTTAAAAACTTGTAAAACTATTTTGTTAAACCGTAGGAAACAGAAAAACAAATATTCTTGGGTAAGTCATTGGAGAAAATTGATTTATATAATTTACTTTAGCAAAAAAATGTTAATGCTGTTTGTAAATCCCCTTTGCACAGAGCGAAATTTACCTCAGCTGCTGTGAAAAAGATCACAACTTATACAGGTGACCACAAACCTCATTAAAATAACCTAAAAAATTCATTTTCGGATCGCAAACTGTTAAACAAACTAAAATATATCTTGTAATAAAAAAGGAATGTTTTTTTATCCCTAAAAAAAAGAAAATTTATAAAAAACAGTGCTATTACAATCACACTACATATAACCAGCTAATGGTTTGTGCAACATTGCAAAAGCGTACTCTTTTGTTAATTTAATTTCAATTCAGTCCAAGTTGGATGTCATAACTTTTCACAGACTATCGTTTGAGTTTAATGTTAGACAATCCGGTGTTTAGAAAAGTATTCAGCATAAAATATTTAAAATTATCACCTATAAATTTATTTTATTGTTGATATTGCATTCTCTATATAAAAAGAAGCACAATAAAATCTTTAAAATCAGTTTTGTGATAAGAACTACTAATTTTGAGTTGTGATGTAAATATGGGCATATCAGAAGAAAATGAAAAATCTAAAAGGATAATGTATATCTAAAAGGAAAATGTGGTTAAAAATTAAAATGTAATAAAATAGATTTAAGAAATTCTTATGAGCAAAATTGTTTTTAAATATTTAATACAAACTATGTGTTTTGGATTTCTGAATACACTAAACGATATGTGCCACACTGTTCTTATTGAAGACTATCACAGAAAACACTTCTAATCTCACAGCTCTGTTTGTTTAACTGAGACAAGCATTAGACGAAGAAAATCTTTACAATCTACTAACTCACTTACACGTTATAGCTTGAAACAATAAAACAAAAATAAATATATTTACAAGGAAGAGACAGTGACTAGTAAAGAGGAGAAATGCGAGATTGCAGAACATCTGAAAAAAGAAAAGTTTTGATCAATTATTTTGTCGAAACATAAAACATTTCATTGTGTCGTAGCCTCTGAATCACTATGATTATCACAATTGTAGGTTATGTTACTTTATATATCACCAAGTGATCCTGTTAACACGTTCGCTGCGGCCTACTGCTATAGCAGTAGCGCGACACTAGCACTGCCTACTGCTATATCAGTAGTGTGCTCCTCTGCCAAATATTGTGTCTGTCTGAGCCCAGCACTCGGCCGGGGACGCTGTTATTGTTGCCAGGCTGTAGCTTAGAATGCGAGCTTTATTTTTGGTGTAGGTTGGTACTAAAAATTTCCTTAAAATCCCGTCTGACAATGCTTTTGTCCTGGTTTCAAGGATTTTCTCTACTCAAGCCATATTACAACGACACTGGTTCTTGATCCAGGCAGTGCTGCTACCTTTGTGTGTTTTAGTGAACTACGTCCAATTTCGGGGGAACGCAGAACAATCACCCCTGCTCTTTTGTGATTTGTCTTACTGAGATATTTGAATGCCAATTGCGATCGCTGATTCATTAGCGCGCCAGCAGTGAACGTGTTAAAATATATTGGTTTTAAAGACCTTGATGGCTTCAACAAACAAACAAAAACATTTAAAAGACATGTTAAAAAATTAAATAGCTTCAAGATCAGCATCGTACGTGTTATTAAATTACCTGATTGTACAAAAAATACATCTGATTACACTTATACTGTTGATTCACAAGACGGTAAATACATATACAGGATGGTAAGGAGTGATCGATTTCAATTTGACAGTCCAATCATCATCAGACCCAATAAACCTACTGAAAAACTGCTATCCAGACTGGTTTTGTTCCCAAGCAGTCCGGATAAGAGAGACTCTCCTGTAGTAGTTTAGTTCAGTTTTAAAACACTATGTGCAGTGAAAAGTTTAATTTATCGTATTTAACTATTACTATAGAGTAATATAGTTTACTCACAGTAGTTGCACTTATGCTTGAGTGCTGTTGGTGTCATAATTCTGGTACCGAGAGTTGGAATCTGAATCAGGATCTGCGGCTCTATGTTGATCGGTTCCGTAGTTGCGCTGAAACAACAAACATATATTAATACCGGCATCTATTTTTTACTTTACGATAGGCAAGCATTAAAGAAAATTGCCTAACTATTGAAAGCGAGCAAATGACTTTGTTTCTCTGATTTTTTTCTAAAAAGGCTGTTTACTTTAAGTTCTCTAAAAGTTAAATTTTTTATTAACGAACACATAGAGGAACATAGTATAAATTTTCAATATAGATTGCTCGCCCACATGAAACATTTTTTAGGTTAATTAAGAATGAGTGAATGTCTACCGAAAATGAATTGACTTAACTTAATTAATCGTGGCAAAACTGAATATTTTTGCAGGCTTATAGGTTTTATTTTTTAAACCTCTTGAACAAATCAAACACCTTGAGCAGTGCTCGGTCCCCTGGTACTATAAACTTATTTAATTACATTATTTGATATCACTGACCTGGCTGGTACTGCAACTCTCCCCAGGACTGTACACAGTGACCAGGTCAGGCTGGCGCGGCGCCGAACTGTCCCCTGCGCCGGTGGTACCTCGCAGCAACACGTCAGGCACAAACTGGTGTCTGGCCGCGCTGCCGTGTCGGGGACTACTCAGGCTGGGACTGGCCGACGGTGCCGGCTTTGCCTACACCAGTTACACAATTATATGACTGTCTTAAGATTTATAGTGTTTAAACTTTTTGTACAAACATAAAATTGTGTTTGTGTAGATAGAGCAAAGTAGTATAAACCATAACAAACTTTTGCTATTTATTCCTAAAAAACTATGCAGTGAGTGTATCTAAAGCTGCAAAATGAAATAGGCCTATTATTGTTTAGAAGAATTTATAGTTTATATTTGAAAGAGTGTACATAAATGTTACAACAACATGAAATAAGGGTGTATTATTAATGCAATATTGTACATCTAAAGGTGTAAAATTAAAATTAAAAATTAAAATATTCTTTTTTAGAGTAATTCATTGTTTACGTTTGAAAGATATCTCAGTTTACATAAATGTTACATTACAACAACAAAAAAGGGTGTTAACGCAAGATCAATGTAAGTTTTAAAATCAAGATTTCATACAAAGATTTAAAGTTTAACGATAGCACTGTAGAATCATAGCTAATATTTCTAATCAAAACATCATCTTTAGTGTATGCTACAAGTAAAGAGTATCAAATAATTATTTATCTATGTATTCATGCTAGAAACAATAGTGTGTTTTCTACTGAATGATTGTTTTAACTATTGATAGATTGAGCAATACCACTAAAAGCCAAAAAGTATAATGTCTAACTAGCGATTATTTCCTTATGAAGTGTAATTCATCCAGTGTTTCATAAAAAATGGGAAAATAATTACAAAATGGCAAATTGTAGCTATTGTAGCAAACCCTGCACCAATCATTGGGCTTACAATGGGACGAGAAGACTTGACTACTTAGGTATATTTTTACATTCCTTTTAGGTTATTTTACATTCTGATAACTAACTCATTGAATTTCATCAAAACTCAACTATTCAGTTTGTTTAAAATACATAATAACAAATCATTTTCATAAAAGCTCACCTATTTTGAAATTTGTTATTCAATTCTGATGATGATTTTGGCTATATTGCTTGATGTATCAGTATTTTTGTTATTCAACTATAACTAACAAATTGTATATTCACATGTTGTCATAAGTGTACTAGATTACAATTTGGCAGAACTTTTTTCTCTTTTAAAATTAACCTGTTTAATGGAAATGCAATGTAGCAAAATATCCAATTAACGACTTTTTTCATTTTTCTTTAAAACCTAATTTTGTTCGTATTTAGTTTCAACAGTTTACATAACAACTATGAAGTCAATATAGAGTAACAGTTGAGTAAATAGAATAATTTGTTATATACAAGATTAACTTGTGGAATTAGCAAATAATTTTTGTTAACTAAACCATCTACAAATAAAGAAACACATTAGCAGAATACGCCATCTCAAGCCTCTTACTTTCATAATTGGGATAAAGGTAGAATTTGGTTTTGTAACAACAACTCTGGCTATATTTTAGATTTTTTAAACTTAGAATAACTTCGCCAGTGCACACCTAAGTTTAATTAAAATGAGGTGGATATCTAATAGTGCTTTGAAAGGCAATCTCATCAAACAAAATCTATAGATTACCTTTTTTCACCTTAGACAGTGCATAACACACTGAAAATAAAAATAAATTATTGAAACCCTGGGATTGAGAGAGTAGTAAATTAATTTTTGTAATGACAGTAACAAAAAAAAAAATACTTCAATAATTCAAATTATTCTATTGGAGAAAAAGTAATGAATTCAAACATTGGAAGATAGTTATACTTTTAACTGAAAAATGTCAATATTTTTTTAATGAACAGTGAATAGATTTTCATCTAGGTTTTATGCAACAACATAACAAAATATCTCTGTTTCAGCAAAACCTACGGACTAAACCAGTTTTCAGTTGTTTTATTGATGTTTATTAAAACACAATCCTTGCATAAAATGCCATGTATGCATGAATAAAAACATAATATTGGCTCAATTAGTATATAGGTTTTCTTCAACAAAGAACATAAAACGTTGTTGTTTGTATTACATAAGTCCACAATGCTAAATCTATGAGGATAAATAGCAATATTGGTTCCTAAAATTGAACCTGAAAATATGTACAACAGATCTATGTACACCATATTTTTACAAATTAAATTACATAGTTTTCTATGATAGATAGGAATGAAGGCAAGAGAGTAAAGTAAAACAAGACAAACTGTTAATGATTCATCTTGTAATGGATCCCTTACATATCCACGTGGGTAAAAGAATTCCATATGGCTGGAGAAAAAATTTAAGGTCCAATTGTGTGGTTGTGTACAGTATATTTTGATGTTTACTATTAAATTATTACTATTCAACCAACATAAATGTTAACCAAATAGATTTTTTGAAATTAATTTATTGTTGTCAGGTATTACAGGCAACAAAGGAGACTGTTTGGAAAATTTATACCAAAAATAAGTTTAAAAAATTTGGGTAGTAAGCAATAGCACACTCAAACTTAACCTAACATGAAAATGAAATATACATCAAAACTGGGTTCAGATTTACAATAGGATGAGAAGTCTACTCGTACTATTTAAAGTCAGCAACAAATATTATAGTTAAATCCTAGAGTTCAGGATGAAACTACGGATGAAAATGTATTATAATACAACTGGACAACATTACTACTGATTCAGGTCATGCCTTTATTTACTAAGAGGTTCTTTTTTAATGAGGAGATGTCTTATTTTACCTTTATTACTCTTCTCTGCATCAAGAAAAAACAAAACAATGCTAAGAAACATTGATAAAATAAAATACATTTAAATGTAAAATGTCATTAATCATTTTGTAGGAGACTAAGGTAAGTGTTATTTTATTCTGTTTTAATGAGGATGTAGAACTTTTATAAATCAGGCTAACTATAATCAAAAATTGATGTTTTTATCCTTCATTAAAATAGTGTAACAAAAATTTTAGGGAAGGCAAGCAGAATATCATGAATCATTATCAGTATAGGTTTTAAGGACCAAAAAATTGTAACTTGCTTATAAGAGTCCTTCAGAGATTTTTTTACCGCGTTAGGGGGTCAATGGAGCCCTGGGCAAACTCAGAAGCAGCGCCCCCCTTTTTTCTTAGTGCGGGCGGTAGATGGACGTGCAGTGCCTGCCAGGCACCCCTCAACCACCGGCGCCCCTGGCATATGCCCAGTCTGCCCGTTATAAAAGTGGGCCTGATCATTAATAAACGTTTTGAAGACGCCCTTAGCTAGGAAAAATATATGTTTTGTTATGTGCCTTTTTCGGTATCTCTACTCTATAATGTTGCATCCATAAACAGCCACTCGACTTCCCATCAAAATAATCTGTGTTGGTTGAAAAAAAACACTAGTGCCCCAATTTGGGATTTTATTGATTTATTTCTATATTTGTTACTTAAGTTAATTACCTGCTTTTATAACACAAGAAAATGAGGTAGAGAAAGTAAACAGAAATTAAGGCCTAATCTTGGGAGTTTTCATTGGATCTGAAATAAAAAAAAAGTACCTTAGGTAGATATTTTTACTCTGATAAAACTTGATGATACTTGGATACAAAATCTACCATAGTTAATAGTTTTGTATTTGTTACTACTAACCACTATCTGTATGACTTTATTCACTAAACTGTTGCCATTTTAGTAATTCCAATCTAATCCAAATCTGCACTCTTCCGTAGCTTCCTTTTACTTCTGTATGGAAACCCTCTTTGATAATTTTTAGTATAGTAAAACTTACGAGAAAGACTAACATGACAACAAATATTTATCTTCCATAAGTAGACAAATTTAAAATTTAATTCTTACCTGGTGATAGATAGGGCTGAGACCACTGCAGAACCTTAGGTTACTGTGTAGAATAAAAATGATGATAGTGACCACAAAACCAGTCAGGGCGTAAATTGATATGGTGTTAAAACCTGAAAAAAAACAATTTTTTTATCTGGCTATTTTTGTATCTCATTATAAAAGTTGTATTGATACCAGAAACATTTTAAGTTAAAGTAGTTGTGACTCATTTGTCGTTGGTGAATCACCGAAGAAACAACACAAGACCCCATTTGAAAATAATGGACTCCACTTAAAAACACACAAACCGAAACCATGGGCCTGTGAGACCCCGCTTTAAAATACACTAACGCTGGGCTTCTGAAACGGGCATGTTATGAACAGACAAACTGTCAAGATCATGGCACTCACGCAAAATGTACAAAAAATATATCAACAGGTAAGGGAGGATAAGTTGGGAAGGTATTGGGGAATGGAATCCCCAAAGTAAACAGTTTTGCCAACATGTGTTTTTGAAAATTCCCGTGGGCCTGTAAGACCGTGGTTTCGGTATAGGCCTAAGTGTTAAATTTATCAATTATTCTTTTCAAGTTCAATTACTAATTATGCCCGATTTAATTTACAGTGTCAGCATTTCCACAGCAATATTTCCTTAATTAAGGCTTCACGTTGTGTCCAGTCACCTTTGTCTATAACTTATTAAATTCATTGAAAGATAATATTTCCATATTATAAATTATTTTATTAGTGTTAGCATTAGCAATCATCAAGGCTGGCTCCTTGAGCCTGTGATTCCCGGTAAACTGTGTCCTGTAGTTAAATTTAAGGGTTCAATGCTCGTTTCCAACATGAATGATAATGTCGTAACACCCAATCAATCGGAATCGACCAAATCATTTCAAGTCGTAGCTAACTGCTACAAATGCCCCTAAATTCATCATTGTGGTGAACTCAAAGTTACGGTATAAATTACGAGGTTAAGTCCAGTGATACAATAGAGTGTGCAATTGGACTTGAAAGTGCAATGAAAAAACTGCTCTACTGAGTTACCGTGTTCAGTAGAGTCTCAAACAACCTCTCTTTGGAGATTTCCCTATACTAAAACCTATAAAATTATTCTAACAGAATTACATGACGACATACCTTGTCGCATCACTGAGAGCAGCATGAAGCTGAACTGCAGCAGCACTATAGACAACACCACGTACTTGATAGCAGTTGCGTGTATGCGCGTGCTGATCTTAGACGGGCCGTAGGCAAAGTACAGGTTGTACCTGTCTACGCAGTGCTTCAAGCACATGTACAGCAGCCCTGGAAAAGATAGTTTTTTAAATTTTGATCAATTTAATTCTCAATAGACATTTGACGCAATATGTTAAGTCAAAGATAAGTTGATGTGGAGAAATCCTATATGAATAACAAATTCGACTGAAATGTCCCCAACGTCATGTGAATTGAGAGGAAGATAATAATTCAAAACTGAAACTTGAATTAGATCAACTGATATTTAGTTATTACCGAGTTATTAACAGAAGTTTCCTATGAATAACCTCTAAAATTGAGGTAAAACAAGCTCCCATCACAATGGAGTAAGCTATTTAAAATCTAATGCAATCTCCTTATAAGAATACAGAGCTAGTGTTTGAAGAAGGATAGGTTCTTCCCCAATACTATTTAAGCCAACTTAGGTCTAGAAGTGCTAGTTCTAGACAGAATTTCAGGATTGTTGAATTTCTCCACCATTATTAATGACTACTACAATGATACTGAGAGTCCCATTGAGTTGGGGATTGGATAGTACATTACAGTAGTGGGGGAAATAAAGAACATAGCGCTAGTGTTAGGTTTTAACTACCCCACTGTGACAGGAGCTTGTTTAAACTTTAATTTTCAGATAACTTTTGTATAAAAGTGTTTCTTAATTATTGTCAATGTTAGAGAGTGGAATACATAGAGACTTCACACATAATAACAAAATAATAAAGATAACTTACATAAATAAATAAACATTTTCATCAAAATGGTAAATAATTTTGGGTAAAGGTCATTTTATTACTTCATACAGAATCACAATATTTAAATCACTTATCATGTACCTTATTATTTTGTAAACAACATGAATAATTACCAAACGGAGTAATCAGTGGACATGAGAGGCTGAAGACAGTTGTCATAGCAAAGATGAGCAACATCCACGCGTACTGCAGTCCAAACGGGAACTCCCACATGATAGTGTTCCTCAGGGATACGGACTCTGCTTTGGATCTGAACAGAAATAAGCTTTCAGGACTCGTCCATTATTAGCAGGGAATTTATTTGTGAAGGGTCAAAAACCAATCACACAGCAGACTTTTAACTTTGAAGAAAAGCTTGTCCATTGTAGGGGTTACTAAACATTTATATATTAACTAGCTGTACCCGCGGGCTTTGCCCCGTTTTACTTCACAAGTGAGCTCGTTCGCATGGCTCAATCACGTCCTGGTTGAAGTTCGTTCGCTACGCTCACTCACCTTTAGGTTGGAGCTCGTTCGCTGCGCTCACTTGCCTTCAAGTTAGCTCGTTCGCTATGCTAACTCGCCTCCAGGTTGAAGTTCCTTCGCTACGCTCACTCACCTTTTGGTTGCAAATTAGCTGTTGTCATAAATTAAAAAAAAAAAATAGTGCTGCACCCTGTTGGTAATCCTTGTAACTTTAATGCTATTGCACATCATAGAACAGAACCAACTTGTTTAATTGAAACAGCTGTTAAGATTCATTAATTCCATTTAAATATGAGTACTCATAAGGTTAACATGGGAAACTCCAGAGCCACTGGGGCGGAGCCCGATAGTCCGATCAGAATAAAAACAACTTAGTTTACCTATTTAATGCCTAAAGAATCAGTGTACCAAATTTCAGCCTCCTAGGTAAATGGGAAGTGGGAGAATTAGTGATGAGTGAGTGAGTCAGTCAGTCAGTGAGGGCTTTGCCTTTTATATATATAGATTAATTCAAAGCCAATTTTGTTGGACTGGTTTCTATACAATATTAAAACTAGTTTTATGTTGAGTTACTTTTAAACTTATAACTATTAATAAATAAAACTAAAAATAAAAATATCAAAATATATAGTTTAGTTTAAAAAATAAGAATAAAAGGCTTAGCTGAAAGAAAAACAGTCCACACTAGCATAAGACACACAACATTTTATAGAAAGTAAATAAAAATATGTCCACACGTCTAATAACACTTATGAAACATATATTTACAATTATACTATTAGACCTAACTCACAAGATGGTAGAATCATATATAAAAGATGGTAAGTGAAGATCGATTTCGACTGGACACTATAATCAATAATCATCAGACCCAATAGGCGAACGTTCGCCTATTTAATCTTCCTTGCTTAAAATGCTCTCCAACTCAGTCCTTGCAATATTTCATTGTGCATGTGATTAAAACCTTGCATGTTGAGATTATGTAAGCCCGTAATCTCCACAAAAATTAATTTGGTAGTCTAACGCTAACATACAGTAGTATGTTTATTTATGAAATATCAAATTCAAATTACATTTTAACTCTTTAAAAACATAATGTACACTTCTTCTCGATTCCACAAGACAATACAGTACAAACACTTACCTTGCTAGGCACAGCCGCAGCGTGTAAACAAACAGCTCGGGAAACCTAATCAGCTCAAGACTTGTTCCGATGAACGCTGATGTGATGACGTAATTGACGAAGAAAGCACCTTTGTCGGGCATGAACAAACATTCCCACCGATATGTCTCGTTGTGTGAGTCAAGCGCAAACAGCACAAAAGCTTGAGCACTGTAAAACAAATTATATTTGTTAGGAAAGTTGATGTTGACGTTGGTTATATTCGTAGTGTGAAAAATTTACATCATTTGTGCTTTCCAGTTGTTTTTCATTAACTAAACACACAAACTAGCTGGTTTTCCCCCACTCAGTTCACAATGTCAACCACTATGTACTATCAGACCTCTTGCTTTGATATAATTTTCCATGAAGGCAGACCTTGGCCCTTCTTCTTCAGGAATGTCTTGAGTCAAGACATCTAGGGCTTTATACTGTTCCAATACCAACAGCATTTGGCTTAGGATTACATGAGGAGTGTCTACTTCTTCCTTCTGATTCCCTTGAACCTTTGCCAATAGTCAATGCTTGAACAGTCAAAATGTCGAGTTGATGTGTTGTGAATTTTTTCTGTCCAATCAAATGCTTGAGCCTCTTTTCTCAAGTTAGTTGTTACATGAATTTCAAGGAATAACTTTAACGGTACAATAAAGAGTGTCTTTCTCCTAAAAAAAATAAGTTAAATGGTTAATGTTACCTGGCTTTTGTAAATTTAGTGATCCAGAGGCTACTCACCATCACAAAAATAGTTTAGGCGAATTACTGAACCAATAATCTGATCTAAAGATGTTCACCTCAATAACAACAATCAACAATTAATTAAAACCCTACTGTCCTAACCTTGTCAGTCCTAGCGCAGGCAATATGAGCACCATGAAGAGTAGGAAGATGAAGGTCTTGCGCATGATGGAGTGATTGCGTTGTGACCGAGTCCAGTGATTCAGCCACTCATCACTGTGAGACACAATCACCGGCAGAAGCGCTGCAACGGTCCACAGTAGCAGGGTGGGGAGGAACTCTGACACTACCGGACCCTAGTGATAACAGAACACACAACTAACACAACGATCGAAAAACCTGTTCCGGTAACATTTTTTTTATTCTGAGCATAAAATATGTCACTATCAGACCCTTATATCAATAATATACAAAATTGCAGGGTACTTTCCTGTTAAAGGGGACATTCATTATTATCGATGATTTTCAATCGATATATCAATATTAACGAATTGAAACTTATCAGCTGACAACTACAATAAATAAATATTGTTTAGTATAAAGAAAAAATTTAAATGAAATTGTTCCAAACCAACCTTACAAAACTAACCAAACTTGCTGTAACATTTAAAAATTCCGTTTAATATCCCCCACATGCCCTTTCTGTAATCAAACGGAATTTTTAAAATGGTACAGCACGTTTGGTTGGTTATGTTAGGTTAGCTTAGAACAGTTTTAATCCATAATAGACTAGATTTTAGCCTGAACAAGATCAGTTGTCAATTTGTAATGGATCGTAAAGGGAAACAAAAATATCGATATATCGATTAAAAATCACCGATAATAATGAATATTCCCTTTAACAGGAAAGTACCAATTACAGCAGTACCTGGAATTTTGTGAATTTATCACATGTTAGTCAACAAAGATCACAAAAACATATACGCCTATAAATGAAAGATAAAGTCAATTGATTTTTGATAGTTTGATGCTGGAACCAGCTGTCCTTAACATTTTTGAAGATTAGGTTAGGAATTAAGATCAAACCTACACAACGTATATTACTCGATTTTACACCCATACTTTACTCATACAGTATTCAAATTTAAATTTGCAGCGTTATGTTCCTATCCTTCTTACAACTTGACTACATACAGAATATGGTAGTTCAAATGTATCTCACCATTTTCTCCACCTGGTTGAAGACCAAAGTGTCCATAACACTAACAATGATAGGGGGAGTCGTGAGGAAGAAGAAAACCACAGAAAGGAACCCATTGAGCAACCAAGCTTTTATCTGGAAGTTCTTCCGAGAAACAGACAGATTCTCCCTGCAAGAAAAATAAGTGATTAGAAAAAGTCCAAGCAGAAAACTGGAAATCAAATAAATATTTTGCGTAGCTACAACTAGGAGCAAATGAAAAACAATTAACTGTCAGCCAAGGATATTTCACTGTGTTAGAAATAACTTTGTGTTGTTGAACCGAATAAATGCTGTAATCCTGCTGGTCCAAACTAATAGGAAGCAGAAAATATTTGAAAATAGTAATTTGTGTATTAAGAACGGAAAGTATGTCATTGCCGCTCGAGAACTGTAGATAACCGCAAAAGCTTTAGCTGAGTGAATGCATACAAAATTTTTCCTACCACCATAATTAACTTATTCAAACAGGACAACTAACGACCTCGAGTCATTGTTAAGGTACTCACAGATTGACCTTTTAGTTGCAATATAAAATGTCATTCAGGTCATGTTTGCATTTTTTAGGTTATGTTATTTGCTTACCAGATGTTAGTACTTTATAGAAAACCCAACAGTGAAATCAGCTGATTTAGCGAGCAAGAATGAATAAAGCGCAAATGAGCTATTTTGCATACTGTTTACAGGTGTGGCAATGTGATAATTTCTATGCAGTGGTAGGAAAAGGAGATTTTTCAGCATACCTTAATAAACTGCCAGATAACAGATAAGAAACAGGATAACAGGTATGATAAAAATACCAGATTACTAGGTCCTTATACTCTGTACAAAAAGGTCTAGTGACAATAAACAATATTAAGAGATAAATTTAAGGTATTTAAATTTACAAATTCTAATAATCTTGAAATGAGTGTTTTGATATTTTATTTCTATGAATGTCGCTAACAATTCAGAAACAAAACATTTTGTTAATCATGAATGAATTTCTGATTCTGATGCTTACTGTCTTTAAACCACACTCTACAATTAAAAACCAAAACTCTCCCGTACCAGCATATATCCCTAGGTGACGGCGCAAACTGCACTTTCCACCTGTGATGTTTCAGTCTCCGACTAACAGAGGACTCAGGTAGGTTGTTGAGGCAGGCGTAGCGACGTTGGTGGTCCGAGTAGATCTTCTTCGCCGCTGCTATAGACACTAGCGTAACAAACACAATGCCCAGCGGACGCTTCAGAGCTGTTGTGCGTTCCAGATCCACCTGCGCGAAAAAAGAGTTAGTGAAATAAATTGGTTACAATTACTTCAGTTTTTATGTAGCTACTATCTTTGATTACCTTCGATTTTTTGTCAAGCTTTTTCAGCTTCATTTTGTAGATCTAATGTTTAAAACATATCAGCGCTGTTGTTACTTACACAAAAACATTAAATAGTAGTAACAGGTCACATTAGCATAGATCGAATCAAGACATCATTTCTTTCCATTCGGAGAAGGCTACAAAGTCCCAAGAGTCCTACACATTTTATTTTTTATTTCTAGATAGTTTGACCCTGTGTTTTATTAGTTGTGTTGGACAAGATTTATGTACCAGAACCTCTACCGTCCCCCTTAAACTCTTTCCTCATTTGAGGACTCTTTTATAGAACAACAAAAAGCATTAGAACAATATTCAACACCTTTTTTGTTTAGAAATATCTCTTAGAAAACGTTAGAATTCAAACAAATGTTCCCTAAATAGAGAGGTTCCACTGTGCTTCCCCTCAAATCAAGCCCAAGTTAGACCTACCACTTTTTTGGGCTATACCTGAGTTATTTATGTGATTGTGATAAAAATGCACACAAAAGGTAATTAGTAGTTTTTCAACATAGACATTTACAACAAAAGTCTCACTACATTCCAATTTTAGACTAGCCAAACCCCTAGTAAACATTAGGCTACTTGAAATTTGTTGCACAATGAAAATATGCCTAGGCCTACTTATTTTTGTTTTGGGTTTTGACTCAATATTGTCTACCAATTCTGTTAACGTAAATCAGGAATATATGAGGATAATTTAACTATTGTTTGTTCAAGGGGATTAAGGAATAGGACTGAACCTACCTGAGCCTGTAGTCTACTCTCCTCGTCAGTGTAGTAGTCTATAGCGTCCACCGTAGGACACCCGTACATGTCACAACATGAACATATGTTTCCACACAGGTACGGCCTCATCTGCAGCCTAATGCCCGTGTCCTTCAAGTAGTTATCACAGTAGATTCTAGCTTGATATGCCGTCTCTCTAAAACAGCAGGATGGTATTGTTTAAGTTATTGTCTTATTTATTTTTTAGTTATACTGGTAGCTTTGATTATGCGTAACACAACCATACATATTTTAGTTTATTTTTACTTTTAAGAATAAGGATTTTCTAAGGGTTTACTGTTTAGTTCCCAAAATTTACACTTACCTTGCTTTATCTAATCGACTAACTTTGGTGATGTTGTAGGCTAACTGAATCCCTTGAACTTCAAACTCTGGGTAGGCTTCTCTGTAAAGTAAAAAAAACATGATACTTTCATCAAACATAAGTAGACAAAATTTATTAGTTTAAAATATTTCAATAAAAAAAGACTTGGTTTAAATTGGCCTGTGTGTTAAGTTTATAACTTTATTCTTATGATATGATAAAGTTTAGTGGTCTACCAAAATTTCACTATGTCATTAACGTCAATAAGTTCAAAGAAGGTTAATTTAGGTGCCATTTATTAATAATAATACAAACCATAATTCAGGGAAATGATATAGGTTCATCCGTACTTGAATCTTCCAATCCTAAACTAGGGTGCCCAAATTTTAAAATTCTTAGTTTTGATCATAACATGTCTTTTGATTAACTATTTATTAGTTAGTTTGTGTTCTGGCATTTACAACTACTAACATATTGTAAACGTTTCACATATTCAAATCTAAATTTATGTTACATAACAACAGCATTGCAAAGTTATTATGAACATACATGAGAATTCAAACAATATTGTACTATTTTTGCAATTTGCAAGGTCAAAATTAAAGGCTCAAAATATGTACATATGCCAATCGTTCATCGTGATCTTAACTCTGTACAATCTTTACAAAAAACAGTAAAGCAGTTTTGTGCTAAGAAACGGTTAGAAATTAAATTTTTTCTGGGAAGCCGAGTGGTTTTATTGCTCCCCTTTAAATCTGAAGATTGCCAATTCATAAGCAAGATCGGTTTTGAACCTACTTGACACTAAACGATTAATTATTGATGCTACTTAACAAAAATTTGACGTTATTTAACAAAAACAGAGTTTGGCCCGTTCCCTAAAAAAAGTTTCAAAAATGCCAATGACGTGGAACAAAACACAAAATTAAAACTAAAGCATATTTGATACTCCCCCACTACATAGTGGATATTTAATGCTTTAATCTCACCTGAAGTGTCTGTGAAGATCGTCAGCGTCACAGGAGCGTCGTGGGATGTCTGAAATCATCAAAGTACGAGATACTGTGTCTCTGTCTTCCACCTTCAGGTTTACAGAGAATCTGCAAACAACGAACCATCCTGAACAATAGTTTCCAACAAAATAACATATTTTCCAATATAGAATGTATTGTACAGGGTGACACAAAGGAACCGGACGTTTATTAAACAGCTGTTCCATTGTTGTCGCACGTGGTAGGAAGATTGAGGTTATGTCATACCCTTCAGTGAGGCTTGCCATTTTTGTTGAAATGGCTCAGTGGACCTTAGACCATCGCGTTTTCGCATACAATACTTTGGTCCAAAATAGTGAATCCGTCGTCAAATCCAACGGGAATTCAGTGGACATTTTAATATTGAACGCCACGGAACGGTTCCAAGCCGAAATATGCTATTAAGATGGGTGTCAGGGTTCCGAACAACTGGGAATATAACAAGAAAGAAACCACCAGGCCTTGTTAGAATTTCGAGAACACCCGAAAACATCGCCAGAGTGAGAGCAGTATTGAATGAATGTTTCCTAACAAGGTGATTTCTCACTTTGGTGACATACCGTGGCCACCAAGGTCACCTGACTTGTACACCAGTGATTACTTCCTGTTTAAGGAGCGTGTTTATGCTCACAAACCACGCACTCTAGGGGATTTGAAGTTGGCAATCACAGAAGATATCAACGGTAATGAATATGACCTCCTGACCTGAGTTTCAGATGATTTTCAGACCAGAATGAACATTTGTAGAGAAGTACATGACGGCCATTTGCATGTCGTCATTTTCCAAAAATGACTGTTTTGTAACAAATGGCAAATGTTTACCTCACTATATACAGTATTAAAACCATGTTATTCCATTTAACTACTGTGTACTACTTATTAAAAAAAACGTCCGGTTCCTTTGTGTCATCCTGTATTAGAAATCAGTCTTTTACAAGCACAAACTTCAGATTTACAAATAGGGTATCGTTTGGTCAAATCTACGTTGTGGATCCAATTTGCCTTGCTCGACAAGAGGTAGGTTTTGAAATACTGTACGTCTAAGGTGGAAGAGCTGTGAGGAAGCATTACATTTGTTAAAGTATTATATAACTTATTTTGGAAAATCTTATTCTGGAAGACTTGGGAACAAGCCCTACCAAACAGTAAACATTTTAACTGCGTGATAATACCATGGCCAATTGATTTGTAATTAAGTTATCCCAAATATCTAGGAAAAACAAAAGGATATGCGTTTCAGATGACAAATTTTCCTGTACTAAAGAACTCATCTATCAAAACCCTTTTGATAATAAACCCTACCCTTTGAAGGGGAGCAAGCTCATTTAGTGGTAGAGCGGGGGACTTCGGTCCCTGAGGTCCTGGGTTCAAATACCACCAGCTACCAATGGATTTGATGTAAAATATAATGCCGCAACTCCTAGATCTAGCCTGAAGTAATGTGAACCTAGCGTACTAGGATTTTAAAAACCCCTAGGTTCAGCCTGAAGTAATGTGAGCCTAGTGTCCTACAATAAATAAACTATATTTAAGAGATGAGCAATTGGTTGAGATATCAGTCTACGTTATAACAAGGTGTAAGCGTATCAGATGTAACTAAACTGAAGTCAGGTTGACTTATGTTAGATCAGCTATTTTCCTACCTTTTTCAATTCAGTTCAATTTATAATTCAATAAGTAGTTATAGGCTACTAGCTTTGACACTAAGTTACCATTTTTATGATCACTTCAATGGTAGACATAAAGTGTATTGCTTTTATCATTGTAATAGAAATACAGTACGTGATGTTACCTTCGCATTATGTAGATACCCAATGGGAGATACAGCAGGGACAGCGTGACATGCACCCATAGCCAGTTAGAACTGAAAAAAACATCGCTGTATATAGGTTTTTAAAAAACTAAAAAGATAATTCACGTTTTCTTTTAATAACAACATGAAAGACGTAATAACAATTTATGTTTGTAGTAATGTAAAGGTAGTAAACTCAATGTGGTTTTTTAACCTTGTCAACCATTTGAGGAGAATTTTATGTTAAGATTGTCAAAGGCATAATAATGTTGTTACAGCCATGAAATATATTTTTACAACAAATAATCCACAACTTTAAAATGCATTGTCTTAATAACTACAGACAGTATTATCAGTTTGAGTTGATTAAAAACATTACCTTATACAAATGGAAACACTACAAACAAATGTGATAACGGCTTATCATTGTTATCAAATTGGCGTTGTGATTTTACCAGCTCGCTGTACAATATTTCAAACACCTTATTCAATAAGCATCTATAGTTATTAGAATAAAGGTTTATTAGTATGTCAATGGTTATGAGATTGACATTGGTAAACCAGTTTGCTTTAACCCCTGGACTGGATTTGAACAAAGAACAATAGTTTATATGTACCATTTCTTTACAATCCTTTAGTTTAAATAAAGCAAATGAAAAAACATTAAACCAACAGCAGATTCATCTATTGACCTATTGATGTTGGTGCAGCAATATAATCAAAATTGTCGCTAATGATGGCCTAAGGACCAAAAGGACACTCAAAGTAGCTGCAAAATAAACCTTTCTTAAATTTATTTTTTACTTGAAGGCTTAGTCAATAAATATTAATGAGTTCATTTACCCGGGCTCCAGATTGCTAACAGTAGTGTGTCCGAAAGACCGCTCTTCCGCTTGTAAATAGCCTTGAAAGTTGATAGGCAGAACTACAGACAGGGAAATGACACATATGATCGCCACCAGGACGATTATGTGCCGTTGGAAAGACAAGTATTGGACGGCATCATACCCACTCTTGGCAAGGATGTTTTCATCCCTGAAAAACACACATTATAATTACAAAACTAAACTCATAAATAAATCATTCAATACTAAATCAATCCTGCTACGTTGAATAAAGTAGCGGAAACAAGACTAAACTTTGATGAGAAAGAAAGAATCATTACGTTTCGTAGACCAAATTGAATTATGACAATCTGGAATTTCTAGACAAACACATTTCTTTGACCAGAGCTTTAGGATCAATTTGCATGTAACTAATTTTTCAGTAAGCTTTAACATCATTTTGATAACTAAAGTGCTTGATTTGCAGTGGGACGGCGTACAATTCCGGCACCTCATTGTTCACAAATCGAGCACTGACTAAAGTAATTTAAAAAATACTTTCACAATAGTTTACACCTAGTAGTTACACGATGGACAAAATAGTCCAACATTTAGGCCTATCAAAATATTTTAAGCACCACATACTGTACTTTCATAACATACAAATAGCAGCATTTTAAAGGTAATTTTCTCTTCATGGATTCAATTCAGCAACTTACTTGATCTTAAATATAGCAATTATCCAGGAACAAAAGCCCCGGTCAATGTGTACTGTTGAGTCAAGAGATGTGACAGAGTTCACCTCCGTGGCTCCGACTACGTCATCCAGCGTACCGTAGAACAGCTGGGTCCACCTGAGAACCAACCAGAACATGAGTAAACTCTACAGGAAGCTGAAAATATCAAGAGCCTGATTGTATTCTTTTGATCTACTCTTTACCTCTGGGGCTACCATACAAAAACAGGTCTATTGTCACCACCGATTGTAGAACATACAGGCTACGGTACGGTAGTTTTGATAACCAATGGACAAAAAAGACGATAGTTATACGTACTTGGTTTAAACAGTAAAAATATATTTTTCTGTTTGAATCAGCTTTATCAAAGTATAATATTAGTATAATTTAACAAACTTAAAAAAAAAAAACTCTGCCAAAGCCCCGCCATTAAGAACTTTAACAAGTCTAAAGCAAAGCCATAAACACAAACATCGGAAGGACAATAGTCCATGACTAAACAATATTCCCACGACTTGACAATTTTGTCCATGACTTGATAATAATATCAATTTGAACATTATTGCCACCAGGACTGATGAACGAATGATATGATAGGCGTCAAGGGGTGTTACCTACCTTTTTATTCCGTCTCCAGTCCTTTGTGGGACTGGAGACAATAATAAGGATTGGAGATAGAATAAAAAAAGTACGTAGCCTATCATATCAATATTATCAAGACAATATGTCTATGACTTGATAATATGTCTATGAAGTGACAATATGTCAATGACTACACAATATGTCTATGACTCGACAATATGTCAATGACTTAACCATGTCTTGTCAATATGTCCACGGTTTTTGTAAGATGGGTAGATGAACAGAATCCTAATTTTATCTTACAATATTGGTACATAATGAGTTTAAATCATGAATAATGTAATCTTTGACGGAGAAAATAGGTATCATATTTTCTAGACAATCTTTAGAGAAGCTATGACTATATTAAAATAAAAAAATCATACCTGCCACTAGGGTTGTTTTCAAGATAGTGGAGTACCCTCGTAATAGGGACAGTAAGGTGAGTAAGAGGGAGGGAGGAACGAGGTCTGGAGTTACTCAGGTTAGGGTCCAGGAGAGGTCGGATCTCTGGACCAGAGGGTGGCGGAGGACTGACAAGCAAACAGAGCATTTAGTAGCCTCAGGGTCAATGACTAAATAACCCCGCCACAGCAAACCTGCAGACTAAGCGAATTTCAACTTGCCTGATTACATTTTTACTAAAATATTTCCATAAATAAGACATATTTATTCCCAATTTAAATAACATTAGATTTAATGAGTGAGCGCTTAGGTTTGCTGCTGCGGGGAAGGTAAAATGTGTTTTTTGACCATACGTCAATAGTATAGGATGAAATAAATAAATTTGTCAAATTTTATCAATATATATCCATAAACAAATAAACTACAACAGTTTTAATTTTCTCCATAAGAATAACATGGGAACTTTTAATTACACTATTTTTGAATTTTCCCCGTGACCGTTAGGCATACAACAGTGCTTCAATATACTAAATTATTTATTTTTTTAAGCTCTACAAAACGGTTTAAAAAGAAATTAAAAATTTTTTTGTTTTTAGGGTCAAAAATGGGAAAAAACCCAATTTTACCCCATAAAACTCCCCATAAACCCCCGTTACCATGGTCCGATTATGCTGGTTCGCTAACTCGTTTTAATAAACGTAGGTTTACACGTTTGTACCAAATTTGATCTATATAGGATCATTTTTGCTTGAGTTATCGCGATAATGGACATATATATTTGAACGGATGGTGTTTTTGGCCTCTAGGGACCTCAAAACAAAAAATTAAATCGGTCCCGGGTCCAAGTCTTACCATGAGTACTACGGTAATAGATTGTTCCCTATATGGGAAATTCACTAAAAAGTCACTTAAGTTTTTGAAAAGTCATTAAAAACAAAAAAGTATTAGAAATGTTCTACAATGTCAAAGAGTACCAAAGAGTTGACAATTCATTCCAGAGTTAAAATGAGGAGTCTTTTAATAAAACCAAATTAGATAAGTGCCAATTAGGCACTTTGTTCGAACCTCTTATATTTGTAATTGTTATTTGATAAATGGGGGGTTTCTGATAATCCAACATACTTGCTTCCTCGTTTTCCCAATACCACCCCATATAATTTAATGGTGGCCAATACATGGGTAGATCACATATTTTGAAAAGTAGCATGGCTTGAGTGTGAAATTAATGTAGGTACATATCTTTTTTGGACACCCTGTAATTTAAATTTAGCTACCTTTCTCAGATATTTTACTGTTTTTGTTGAGTAATGTTATGTTAGGTTGATTGGAACGGGTTTTGTATTGTTTATTTTCATACGGGGAAAATGGTTCTTCAAAAAAGATCTACTTAAATTAGGGTATCAAAGTTATTTGATAACTAACTGAAAATTATCCTTAGTCAAAATGTTTTCAACTTAACGGTAATATATTGGGGGATATTTAATCCATGGCAAGACAAAGATCTGTATACTGGGATCTTGCCAAAACTCTTTACCAAGGTCAAGTTTACCAATACATATTGACACACACACATTTGTGAACGGATTGCGTCGTTGACAAATATAAGACTATCGCCAATGCTGTGGAACTCAAAAATGTTTGAGAACCAAAAAACTAAATCTTTATTCTTTTGGGCACATTGTGTGATTAATGGTTATTTAATAAAAAAAAAGTTTTGGCACAGTTGAAACACTAAAAAGTACCAAAATAAAAAAATATACCATCAAAAAGTGTTTATGATAGATTTCAAACCAAAGATTGATATGCATAGGCTCCTCTGTTTTACTGTTCCAACAGAACTAATACAAGAATCTATGTTTTATTACAACTACGATTACCACGAGACATAATCCAACTAGGTTATCAACGAGGGTTAGGTTCAATTGTACAATGATATTTAAAAGCTTATGTAGAAGATAAGCAAGCATGTGAATGACTATAAAGTTTTAAGAGTTCAAAATCCTTTATTGTTTTTCAGATAAACCCTATTTTTTATCTTACATAATGCCAGCGAGTACCAAAGAAATGTGACTAACTAGTGAACGTGCTATGAATCTGCTAGACTAGGGTCATTATCTAACTGTTAAAAATACTCAGAAGTAAACTGACTCAGCTATCAGTCAGATATCATTTCCAAGGCCAAACACAAAATAAAGAAGAAAGCCACAAAGTTTTGCAATATTTATCTACGATTCACTCTCCTACTTTATCTAACTAGGCCAAAAGAAAGTTTTGTAAAATTTGGACAAAAATTAGTAAACTCACAAAGAATAACAGTTGTTTATTTTTCAAACATGCTTTTACACATGTTGTATAGGTCAATTTTTTAAATAAAAAAATTTGGTTCTTCAACGTTTAACATTATAGACTGATATTAGACCTTCTAATATTATGAAATTGTTGTAAAACAAATTTGTATTTAGCCTATTAATTTTAACATTTTAAGTAGAATATGTAACAATAGAAAAAACTACCCAATCAAATTACCTCATCCACTAACAATTTGAAATGTTCCAAAGAAAATTTTTCACAAACATGGATTAATTAACTGTATAATGATTTAATTATTTCTGGACATCTACATAATTAAATCTACAATCACATAACATTTACTTTTACATAATATTTCCAAATCGTTTTCTTTTTATTAAACATAAAAAACTATTTTTCATATTAAGTGTGTATTTAGATATTATTTATATAGTTATTTTAATGACTCAAGTTTTAAACAAACGCTTTTGTATGCATACTGTTTAAATGCTAATGAAAAATAACCAGACTTAGGCCTACATATTATGTTTAACAAAAATATGACTAGAATAACCAGGACAACCATTATAAACTTTACCCAAGGCACCTTCAAGCTCCATTACCTTATTTACCCACAATTCAACTTACACTGTACAACCATGCACTTAAGTTACAAGAAAACATTGAGAGAATACCTTTCTTCGTTTTTTTGGACTAATGCGAGCCTCCCATAATTCCACGCTCGTTTTCTCAAGCATGCGAACAGGGTAACCAGCATCTACCGAACCAGACCAATGTTAGTATGTTAGAACAAACACCACAACACTACTTAAGCACTCAAAAATAAATAATTGCTTATGATTATATCTCACAAAAAATTGTACGCCCCATTGCTTTAAAAATATTTAGGTTTGTTTTGTGTTTAAATAAGGTTATTACACTCAAATTTTATAAAAATTTAATTAAAATCATCATTGCCTACAAAAAAAAAAAAAAAAAAAAAAAAAAACTCTAAACACACAAATGGACTAACAGTTATGCATGGATGGAATTTTGGTTGCGGTAACCATTAAAATAACACAAACATAGGCAACCATTAGTGTGTAAAGCCATAAATAATAAACTTAATACAGGTTAAAAAACCCAATACGTGACAGTTTATCACCAGTGTATATTTTGCTATATAATCTTTTCCCAATAAATAAAAGTTACCTTTGAAGGATTAAAGTCAAAATGATATTTAGAGCAATAGAGCAATCACCAAAAATGGGCCTATTACAATATTAACATTTATTAGCGTTCACAAGAACACTGGCAGTTTATTTAACTGTGAACCATCTGAGACAATAGCCAATAAATTTAACTTTAAATTAACTATTGCATACAGAAACGGAATATTTCCATTTTTCTTTGTTGGACATCGACCTAAACTACTTAATTTTGTAAAACATAATCAAATAGTATAAAACTCAGAGAAAAAAATAAATTAAATTGAGACCCAACAATCAACCACTAATTGCTTGGGTAGATTTGATATGGAAACCAGCAAATGATATGAAATTTATCATTTTGTTTGCAAAACGTGTACCGTAGTGCAGTAGGAGCAGTCACAGTTTGAAGAACCCGAGCTTTTCTAGTGATTAGTGAAGCCTATTTCAGTGATATTTAGTATTTAGAAAACAAAGTGACACATAACCTTATCACTGGAGGCTTATCAAGTAACACCCACAAGACAAGATAATTTAGATGCTATCATGACAACAAGGGAGTGTCAATAAATATAGAACTTCTCTGCTTTGAATAGGGGAATAATTGTTTATTTTAAAGCTATGATTCAATTTTATAACAATTAACTCAAAAAATCTTTGGTGAGATATTATTTCCCTTGAAACAACATTATTCATATTTAGCATCACTGGTTTATTTAGTATTTCAGTGGCGATGAAAAAAATGAAAGGATGCGATGCACTGTCTTTTATGAGTTTGCAACAATGACTTATCTGTAATAACTTTTAGCCAGCATTAGGGATTATTATTGTAATATTTAAGCATAATATATATTGCTAAAACTTTGGAACAAAGACGATGCCCCAACAAACCAAGCTACACCCCAGTCAATTTTAACTAAGATTCAATTAAACTAGTTAAATTTTAACTAAATTTTAAACTAGTTTGAATTAACGAGAGAATAAAATGACAAAAAATAGTACATTCGTCAAATTTTTGTTTTTAATTTGATTTCTACACTTTTACTGGCAAACAATGTAGTTAATTAGAACAGTCTGTTGCCAATCATTTAGTTCAAAATTATGAGTTGGTAATATTATTTAATTACCAAAAGTCCATATTTAATTTATTAATTGCTGAATAGATAAACATGAACTTGCTCTCGCTAGAGTTGAACGATAAAATTACTACTTCAACAACACAAACACAACAGACAATAATAACACTTGAAAGATAAAGCTGTTTGCAAATGACATGAGTGTAATTGACAGCTAGAACTAAAATAAAGAAGTGCTGAATAGAGTTATTAAACCTGTAAATTCAATTAAATACATAAATAATTCCCTGTGTGTCTTCAATACAATGCAGCGCCTGGGAATCAATCAATACATATTATCTTCGTAACCCAGTTGCCCAACCAGCGTGTGAACACTTTCCTGCCGAACCGGCTAACTGGCCAGTTGAGAGTTTGGTTGAAATAATAAAAAAAGGTATCAGCAAGCACATACTTTCTCCAATCAGCTTGTCAACAACATAAATAATGGGTAAACGGTAGGAGTAACGATGATATTTTATAGGTAAAGTCACAAAAGTTGCATAAATTTTGAACCAACTTTTATGGAATAGGGTTGTTCAATTTGTTTGGAGTTAAAAAGGACCACAACATACTCAATTTTTAATCAATACGATTATTCTTGCCAGTTTTTGTGATAATCCGATTTGTTGTTATATGGTTTTCCCGTTGTTATATGGGTTTTAAAGGGAAAACTATCATTGCAATCAACATTTTCAAAAAGTGAAAAAAAACCTGGAGATACCAGGAGTAGGTCTCCAATAGGCCTACCAAATTTTATCAAAATCGGATCACAGGTGTAGATTGTACCCATCCACACATACACATAGACATCACTTCGAAATCCACTTTTTTGGTTCAGGGTGACCCACAACGGATATTTCCACCAAATACTCATACTGTAAAATTTATACAAAAAATATTTTTAATAAAGGCATAGCCTACAATGTAAAGGGCGATGAAAGTAAAAAGTGCAATCAGAGCTTAAAAGTTGATTTTTTGTAAGAATGCGATAAAAAAAGTAAAAAATGTTTAAGCCTTTAAAATAAACCAATTTCAAACCTTTTATTTGAATACCATAAGGTCTTTTGAATAATTTGTATTTAAATTAATTGTAAACAAGAATATGCAGCAGCTTTCAAGTTTTTGTTGACTTAAACTTTACATTCAAAAGTTATATATTTTATCTCTTGAAATTAAATTCAAGTTTTGTTATAGTAGTTGTTAAAACGTTTTTAAACACATAATGTTGAAACTAGTATTCTATTTGTAGTGTTCTGTAAAAATAAATTGCCACACTAAAGCACCATAATTTGCTTAGCTTGTGTAAGAATACATTTGCCATCACACTAAATTACCTATGTCAAACTAAAAATTATAAAATGAAAAAAAAAACATTGGTTCTTCCAAATTATATTCCCCCTATTTTAAGCATGGATTAAATGTGGTTATTGTAACGTTCAACACAAGACTCAAACACAAAGCTTAGCAAACAATGTCAGCAAGTAATTGAGCAATCTAATAACTGAGTCATCAAGTCTATTATAGACTCGGGTTAAATCATATGGTAATTAAATCACGGCATTATCAGATGTGTCAGAAGCATCTTAAACAGATGATGTTCCATCATCGACATATTGACATATTAATCATGTTCAAAATATCATAACATTTATCTTGGGATCTCATTTATATATAAATTATGAATATTGTATAATCTTGCAATGAAAACATGCCTGGGCCTGCAAATTGCATGTAAATATACTCATAATGACACAATGAGCCTATTGACAAATTTTTCTTGATTCCCCTACCTTTGCTTAATGTATATTGCACATAAATAATGGTTGCAATAACTTTTTGTTTATAGTTATGTTTTTATGTTTATTTACAAAAATGGAGAAACCGTTGGGATAAATACATTTAAAAAAATATATAAGCACTTTGCAGTTTAAGACAGTTTTCAAACACCCAAAACACTAAAGCGGGGTAATTCTGACCCCCCAGGGGTAACATTGTCCCCGGGGTATTAGGTATTTTTTTTAATAAAATAAATGTGGGGGGTCAATGTCACCCCAAGACACAGCGTAATATTGACCCCTTTTGTTATTTTTTAATGATTAACCTATGACCATAAAAAAACAAATTAATTCTTGGAAGGTATTCACACAGTACCTATGTATCATTATAAACATCAAACAATCCATATAAAAAAATTCATCAATAAAAACATCAACAAAGGTTGTCAATTTATCTTTGGTTGACATATGTACGCTCACTCTCCGTGTGAAGTGTTCCAAGAATCAAGGCAGCCACGAGCACTTCAATAAGGAAGAAAATGTAGAGGATTCTGATTAATTACCCTCATCTCAGAAAAAGAAAGAATACAAACAGTGGATCAGAGTTTACCAAAGGAATCTCTTGAACATGTGACTAAGGAAGATTCGTTTGGTTTTGGGAAACACAGTAACAAAAATCCAAAACAAATTGGTTAAAAAGTATTTAATTTTGTAAGGGGCAATGTTCTATATTAAGTCTAGCAATTACAGACACAATCATCTTTTTAGCAGTTTATTAGCTCTGTGAAAGTTATTTACTGTGAGTATACTCTATGTATAGGTACCGATAATTAACATTAACAACTGTTCTTAATCACTGTTCTTAACTAAGGAACTTGACCGTTTTCTTAAGGAGCCGTACAATGATATTTGAAGGAATTTGCTAAAACTATGCACAGCACGACCAATCAAGGTTCACTGATCGCCTGGATTAATGACGATCTACAAACCTATTTGTCTGCAGACAGTTTAAATGCCAACGAATGCACTACTCTTTAGTTGGTAAATTGAAGCAGCAGCTTATTATTTCAGACGAAGCCCGGAGCATTCGGAATTTGGCAGCTGTTTGGTATTTGGTCTGTTTACATTATAATGGGTTCTTAAAATTAATTTGTTACTTTATTCTTAACCATTCAATTATAGTAATAAAGAGGTACTTACAATCCATCCAAGAAAGTTAAGCAGTAGGTTTTCTGGTATTCCTTCATACGCTGGAGTAATAATTCGTCCAGTTGTGCGGTTGTAATATATACACTTTTCTTTTGTTACAACAGAATTGTTCGCTGACAGGTACTGCTCTTCATTATAGTTGACCAAGCCAAATACAGACATGATGAGGTCTGTAAATAAAATGAAAACAAAAATCCAAGCACACTACTAAAATTAGCCTATCAGTTATACTTAACTGGCTGTCGATAAATTAAGGTCTCAACGAGCTTCCATCAAAACAGAGCCAACTAGTGCAAATCTAACACTATCCTCGTCCTTCACTTCTTTCACAAGCTACTATTTTAATTTTGAAGTGACCTAAGTGTTGCCAGTAAACGTTCCTGGTCGTGGAAAGCAATGGGATATAGTTTTTTTTTCAATGATAGACCTACCGGTACCAGAACAAAAGTATTTATTTTTATGTTGTTTAAGTTAGGATATGTTGTGTGTTGAATGTAAGTTAAGTTAAACATCTTGTAGGCTAGCCTATATTTACATCCAAAGCCATCATCAATAAAGCTATTCCAAAGCGTACCGGTACCTATTTAGTGTAATTCTTGGATCAAGGTGTTTGATCATGTCACTACTGATCAAACGAACTGTGTGTTTGCTAACCTAAACATCGATAAAATATCCCCCTGGGAGATCCTTCCGAAAAATCAAAACTAGGCCTACATTAGTAGAAAAAATCATTAAGTTACATAGGCTGTCAGTTTCAAAACCTATGAAATGAAAGTTAAGATTATCTATATATTAGGCCTAATATAGGCAAGCTAAGAAAATTTTTTTTAAAGAAACATCTTTAAAACATTTTTTCTTAGCTCGTGTGCATTGCAGGGAAAATATATGCTTACTGTTGGAAAGATGTTTGCCTGTAGATGTGCAGAATGCCTTTATAAATTAAAATAGGCTCAAAAATAAGCACAAAAAATCAATTTAAAAAATTAACATGGGCCTTACGGGTTGCCAAGCTGGTGACGAAATATGAACAGAAAATCAAAACAAATAAAAGGAATTCCAATCACATGCTTTCTTTACAGCGTGGGGTGAAAATAGAGAAGTCCGTACATTCAGACAAAAGAATTTAATATAGACCGCCAGCTGTGCTGCGGTTACCACAGGTTCTGGCACACACCGCTAGGAGTGCCATGTAGTTACGGCTTACACACGTAACTACACGGCGCTCCCAGCGGTGTGCGTCAGAACCTATGGTAACCACTTCACGGGCCTGACAGTCTATATTTAGGCCTAACTCTTTTTGTCTGTGGTACATTACATATTTTGTTCGGATTTTTTACCACTGGACGACCTCTAACTTAGTGTTTATAAAAACATGACAACATAATTTTCATGTAGGCTAGGTAAGATTGAAAACTGTAGGTACATAGGCCTAGATTGGCTGGAATAACTTTTTACTCAAACTAAAATTAAAATAATTAACTTATTTTATTGCATCTATATTTATTTAAGTCAAGACAAAGACAATGTCTGCAATAGTGTTCTAACAGTAGAGGCTACATTTCTCATAAATTAACAGCGAAGTTTCTTACAATACAAAACATTTTAAACATAGCCTAGCCTATTGAGATAAAGGCATTGATGCTTGCTTAATACTATTAAATGATTACTTTTTGTAATCCAGATCCAAAACAAATCAAAAAACTTAAAGTAACCTACTAGTTCTTAGTTCTATAACTTCTCTGCATTGCAAGAGAATGAATGAACAACTTGCATTATGTGTAGCCTACACAAAACTAAATGCAGATCCTACGATAATCCTTAAATAATTAATTTCATGGATCTACTTACTTACGTTATGATGAGATAAGTCATCAAGGGAATACAGACTCAAATAATATAAGTCTGGTATACAAACATTTCCAAATTTGGGTGTAGAATGTTAGTAACTTAGTAAAAATATAGTTTAATCACAATATTGTAGTACTAAAATACATGGTTTCTAGTCAGTTCCTGTCGACGTTTGTCGTCTGTCACCAATACTACTATTGACAAGCTCGATATCATCAAGATATATCTATAAACATCACCTGGATTGTTGCCTTTTTTTTAAGTGTTCTATATTTTTCATCAGGTTGACAGACAACCTATATGCACAGGCTATTGGATTTCAGATAGTTCTCTTCGATCACATACATATTTGTGTTACAACAGATGCAGCAACGGATTTACAAAATAGGAGTTTAATCCTATTAATATTCCTAGGCCCCGTCCTAACAGGAACGGCGTGACCGAAAATAGTGACAGATTCAGATACATGGTAAGTAATGGGAGTATCCTAGCCTCCTAGCTAAGCAGCAAAAGCGACGTCGCGCTTCAAGATAAAAGAATGTTTGTTGTTGTTCTGTATTTGGTAGCGCTACACCAACACCGGTGACAAGTTGGAGTGGCATCCACTCAAGGCCGCCTTTAACTCCAGGCCGTGGCCTTCGAACTGGCAACGTCGCAAGTGGTGTTGTAACAGCTGATTTTTTTGGAAGCAACTAATGGTATCTGTGTATTTACGAAAGATTGATTACTGGACTATGACAATATTGACTCCGCTTAAAAATGTACACACAGATATAGATTTTAATTCATATTGTTTCAATTTTCAATTATGCATGTTTTATTTTCAATATTTTAATAAATTTATGTTCATAAATTAAAAATTAAATCAATAAAGTGCGAATTAATGAGCTGATGTCACCTGTCTACCATGTTATCTTATGGGACATCTGTCACTGAACAACACCACTTGCGATGTTGCCAATTCTACCAGGCCGCGGCCTGTAGTTAAAGGCGGCCGTGCATCCACTACACCCGGCACACCCACTACCACCAACATATTATATTACTCCAGGCCGCGGCCTGGTATAATTGGCAAAGTCGCAAGTAATGTTGTTTAGCGCCAGACGTCCTATAATATAACATGGCAGACAGGTGACACCAACTCATTAATTGGTATATATTAGACATTTAAATGTAAATTTATGAATATAAATTTATCAAAAGATTGGAAATAAAAGATATAGAATTGAAAACACAAACAAATATAAATTGAAAATCTATTTCTGTGTTCTGTACATTAGAAATGGAGTCAATATTATCATAGCCCCAGTAACCAAGGTTTCGTATACTACTTTGTTTAAAGTATTTTAAAGTTATCTAAGACCTATCTGATAACCTTATACCATGCCTTATTTCATAGCCATTTGATGTACGGAATAGTGCTCTGGGGACACTCCCCTGCATGCCATGAAATACTTCTGTTACAAAAAAAAACTGTGAGGGTGATAACATCTAAAGGCCCTAGAGAACATTGCCGACATCTTCAAAGAATTGGGAATCCTCACAGTGGTGAGCCAATATGTACTCAATAGTCTGGTCTTGCTAAAGGAGAACCTTAGTGATTTTGTGACCCATGGTGATTCGCTGCCGCTTGAGCCATACCTTTGGAGATACCCCCGCTCGGCTATTAAAATCTACAACTCCCTTCCAAACCACCTAAGGAACCTCGACTGTACAGCGTTTAAGACCGAGCTGAAGAACTTGCTCACAAATAGACCCCTGTATAGTCTTGACGAGTTGTCAAATGATCCTTTAATGCCAGGTCGAGAAACAGACATGCTTACCACAGCCGAAGTTTTAAGTTTTTGGAATTTTGTTAAGCAAGTTTTGTAAATAATAATTTTGTAAATATTAGTATAACGACGCAATCTATCCGATATACTTCGGTCAAAGATTAAGACAACAAGTATACACGTAAGTCTTATTTTATTTTCTTACCCTAAATGCAGTACATAATGGAAACCTTTAGGTGCCCTTTACTCTTTTGGCGTCCTTTTTTATTGAAATTGATTAGAAAGTAATGAAAATCAATGGTCTGAACCTGGTCAATCAATTAAGCTACACGTATAAAAAGTTCAACCTTTCTCTGAAATAGCTTTTTATTGTTCAGAAAAAGATCAATCGAAAGAAGAGAAGAAGTTTGTGAAAGTATTCGTTCTTCGTTGCAGGTTGCTGCAGAAGCATCAACCTATTTCGTTTATTTTTTTTGTTTATGTGGAAATATTTTGTTTATTTAAATTAAATCCTGCATTTTTAATCATGGAGTTTATCGTAGCAAGTGTTGAAAATATGAAATTTAATATTGAAATAGCGTTAGAAGAACAACATGGATGCTTACCATTACCATTTTCTGGAATGGATAGTATGTAACTTAGGCTAAACCTATAAGCATACTTTTAAGGTCTCGTTTTAACTTAAGCTAGCTAACATTACATTTAATGGTTAGCTTTAACTGCATTTATATTATGAATTTCCAAATTCTTTCAGTGAATAACTTAGGCCTAGGGTATTTCTATCTAATTTTATTTTAACAAGCTTACAACAGAAGCCTTAAACCTAATATAAAATAAGTAGCCTAAGTTATTACCTTGCGTATAGCCTAGTAACATTGGCGTTTTATGTAGTGATGGGAGCAACTGATTGAAAACAACCAATTCAATTGATTAGTCGGTTGTTCTCCCGGATATGCTTGAAACTAGTCACTTCATACTCTCGGTCCTACGGCGACTAAGTTAGATCCAGTCAACCAATCGTTGGAATAACTGGAAACAGTCAAACGTCGGTGATTGTAACTAATATAGTCGCAAGAACCACTTAAAAGTTACTGTTGTTGAGGTTGAGACTGACTTGTAAATGAAAACTGTTATAGATAAACTCGTACTGTACCTACACAAATTGTGAACAGTGTTAAGGTAGGCCTATAATTAAAATAATGTAATTTGGTAACTAGGCTACTCCGTATAAGTTAGGTGCCTCCAAACAAATTTTTAATTTTGATAAGCTATCTTACTTTGTAGTTTTTTTCCTCCTGAATCCAAAAATACAATTTTTTATCACCGCTGATGAATAGGTTCTCAAGATATCGCCGTAATAATATACAACATTACAATAAACAAGGTAGGATGGATGACATTTACAAGTGGAATTAACTATGGGTTCATGCAAGCATTTTTGAAATACTGTAGGCCTAATTTAAAGTGTTTTTCTCAGGATTTCAATTTTACAAAAACAGTCTGCATAAACTAACAACTCGATACATTAACTTATAACCTAAACTTTGCCTTCCTAATCTAACCTAACATCAAAACACTTAATGCAGTCACCAATCCGTATAAAGCACGACCTACCACCCTGACATGCCTAAATAAGAACTAGGCCTAGGCCTACATGTAATTAGTCCACCAGTCCATCTATACATCCACAATGTGACGAAATTCCTATTATAGAAAACAATTTCATAGAAAACAAAGGAATATTGTTTTACTGAGTTTAGTTTGAGATAGTAGGACCACTGAATAATTTATAACTTGTCCTGTATAAACTAAATGTTATTAAGTACCTAATAATAAGTAGTCCTACAAAATGTAAACACAAAAAACAACAAACAATAAATCAACTACAAAGTCTCAACAGTTTCCAGTAATATATGATCTTCCTTGCATGATTTTCATAATATTTGCATGATTATGATTTTCCTTGCAGTGACTGAATCCATTGCGCCGAATGAACATCACCAGTTGTAGTGGAATTCACTCGGTTTTTCATTTAAATGAAAAAACCGACTGGTTTTAAATACAACCGATTGACTAGTCGATTGTTTTTTCCAGTACCTAGGTTGTCCCATCACTAGTTTTATGTGGGTATTAACTAAGTAGGCCTACCTATGTTAAAATTAACATACTAAGTAACTCATGTAAAATTAAAAGTAATAGGCTACTAAGTAGGTAACAAAAATTGTAAATTCAAAATTCCCATGTTATTTTTATGCAGAATAATTGTAAAATGTTGTAGTTTGCATGTTCGGGTAGACTTCCATATCTGTTGGCACAAACAACCGAATGAAAATATTGATCATTCGATTGTTTCATTCGATACCTTACCTTACTAACCAAACGATATATTGAATTATCGATATATCAATCGATATTTTCATTTGGTTGTTTGTGCCAACAGATAGAAGTCTACCCGCTTGTTCATGGATATATAACTTATTTTGATCAAACTTGGCATTCATTTATTTCAATACTAAGCTAGGCTATTAATATTTTACTAAAAAAACACACTTTATTAGTTTCCTTGTAGCAGCAAACCTAGGTAACTTACTTGTTAAACCTAATGTTATCTAAATAGATTTAATTGAAAATCAATTCAGACAAATGGAAATTTGTTTATTCGGCAGGTTTGCTGCGGTGGGGGTATTCCTGAGGATTAATACTTTAAGGGATCAAGATCATCCATGTACAAACTTTTATAAACATATTTCCTTTTCTTTTTAAAAATTTTGAAAATTGTTTACGTACGGTACCTAACTTATTGCATTCTTCTAGAACGTTGCAAATGTTGAGCTGTTGGATTGGAGCTTCCCAGTTATTACTTATTAATACCAGTAAGGAATCCCCTTCATCTCACCTAGAGACAAGGTGGGATTCGGAGTTTTAGGGTGGGGAACCTTTACATAGGCCTAACTTAATTATTTAAAGGAAAAAGGGTAATTAGCCTGGGCAAGGGGTAATTTATTGAGCGGAGCGAGCGAAGCGAGCGTAGCTCTTTGGGATCAACTTCAATGCAACAAATAAAGCAACATCACTCAATAACGGCAGAACACATTTCAGCCAAACTTAACAAGATTACTTAGACTAATAGTGAGATGGTTAATAAACAAACAAATTTCAATTAGATAATGCTAATGCAATTTAAAACGAACTTAAAATTTCCAAATTTTAACATTAGGCTTATGGGACTAAAGTAGCCATATGACAGTTTTTTGTTTACAAGAAAAATGTAAACAAGAGAATCATAAGGTATTTCTGAACTTTCTAGACTTTTCTTTTAAACGTTTTTTAACCATTCCTATGATTTCAATAAACAAGAAAATGCCGTTAAAACATTTTTTTAAGGCGCGGAATTCACTGA